GCTGTTTCTTAAAAAAAATCCATTAATATGTGTTTTGACATTATTACATTCTTATCAAAATAGGGACAAGTTCTACTGTAGAACTGATGTTGACTTAAAGTGCTGTTGCAACCCTGGCATTTGAACCTTCAAAACAGCTATGAATATCTACACTGCAACATCTCAATCATGGATCAAAGGATAGTTATGGTAATAAGTATACAATTTTAAGATATTGGCTGGATGGGTCAAGGAAAAGTAAAGATAAAAAATGGGCCTAAATGAAATGGTAGCACACATACTGAAAGTCTTATCCTTCTTTTGATACTTCTGCATATAACTTTCAATACTGCTTATTTCAAGACTGCAAAACAAATAAGATGCTGGCATACCTGTGTTCAGTCCTAAATCCTGCATCTGTTGCAAAAATTGACAAGCAAGAAGCATTAGAGCGATAAAATTATAAAAGAGAAATTGAACTAACTATTCCATATTCTTGTCTTTTTATTTCCATTTTTATTGTATCCTCAACAGTCCAATCACTTTGCTTTTTTCCAATGGCAACAAAGGGACATTTACTTGAATGATTTTTGTGCTCAACCCTGTGTAGGTAAAAAGGCATGGTTGAATGCATACACAATAAAAATGGAAAAACAGTAATTTTATAAAATTTAGAAAAAAAATTTTATGGTTCTTTAAAGATTTACAAAGCATGTTACTTGTTGCCTAAACCAACAGAAAGATACATACTTCACTGCTGTAGAAAGTTGTGGAAGTAAAAAAGGCAGACCTTCCCAGGAAAGGCGTGCAATCGCACTCTCACCAACTGATCAAATTTAGTAAAGATGCCTGGCAATATTCATAAGCTTTCCTTTACCGTTATGCCACCAGAGACATTTATTTTGAAAGTTAGAAAAAACTGAAGAAATCACTTAAGAATGGGGTTTTTAAGGCTGGCTCCATATACTATGTAATTAAACCTTTGTAGAAATAAGACAAAGCATCAATAGCACTCCATTACACATCTAAAACAGTCTAGGTGTGCAAAGTGCCACACTTGTGCTAATTTATTCCCAGGAAGGCCTGATAAGGCATGGAATTTTCTACTTATGACCAAACAAAAGACATGCCCAGGCACCACAGAGTGTTAAGAAAAGTGGGAGTCTAGAAAAATTAGGGGGGACTCAAAGAAATAAAAAGAGGCTTTTCTGGTGATTCAATTTTTAATATTTGGCACTTTTTGCAAAATATGGGGGATTTGCTAATGTCTGTGCCCACCTGCTCCTTGATGCCTGATGCCTAAGATTCCGCATAATGGGAAGATAAAACAAAAGAGTCTGGTTCCAAAAACATTTATGTTAGGTAAATAGGACTACTAAGACATTAAATGTAAAAAAGCCAATAAAACTCCTTGAGGTACATATTTGCGAGAAAAAATGTAAGAAACTTAGTAAAAGCTATGTTAAAATATTAATCCCTTGATGACCTTTTTAGTACAACATTGCTTGATGGGCTTGGCAAGGAACATGTTTTCAGGTTTCTACTCCAGAGTCCAGGAGAAAACTGCTTTTTAAAGCATTGAATTTGACCATAAATGGAGACAATAAAGCATTTTGAGAAGATTTTGTTTCCAAATTAACATGTCCATGGAAGAATAAAAATTGAACCACTTTTTCACTTAAGCTTCAAAAATATATCAGATTTATTTTTGTGATAATGAGGTTGATAGTTAAATTTGAAAAAAAGAGTGATGTAAATTTGTCAGCATTTCACTACAGTATCCAGAAAATACAGCTGTGACCTTTCAAGCTATAATACTCTTTATGGTTCATAGCTTAAGCATAGTTTGCAACAAAATTGAATAATAACAATGGAAATAACATACCATGGATCATCAGTAGGTTCCCAGCCATCCATTTCTTTGTAACAAACATAGCAAGTGACAAGATCTGGCTCATTGCTTGATGGGGTATGATAAAAACCAGCTTCTGCCATCTGTTAATAGAGTGTTACATGCATTAATTTTCTAACACGTGAATAAAATACCAATAAAATGAAGGACAAAAAGCTCCCTCAGAAATCATGCCCTAGACATCAGAAAATCAGTCATGAGGCTACGTACCCACATCATCGAGTTGGGCCATTGGTGCATCGGCGCAAATCACTAAAACCTACCACTGATTTAAACAGGAAGCGGTTACTTTGGAATTTTCCATAATAACCCCCAAATTTAATTGATAAAGGAGAGGGAATGGACAAGAAAAGACTCTTTTCCCCACAAACAGCCAATGCAGCAGTGCAAATAAATGCTAACAGCATAAAGGAATGCCTTAAGGTACGAGAAATTTTATAAAAGGCATCAAGAGAAAAAAGAGGGAGGGAGGGCCGGGAAAATAAACAGCACACTCTATTTGTCGCCTTTCACCAAGCAAAGTGAAACCAACACTATGCCAAAAAACCTTAAAAACACCTAAGAATAACCTAGGAAATGAAAACCGCCATTCAAATTCAAATTTATTTTGAATTATCTCTTCAATTATATGCAAATTTATCCTTTTCTTTAGAAGTTCAAAGAAATCCCGAGTATCCTCGAAGGGCTTTCTTTTTAGAAGTTACTCAAATTTTAATACAAGGGATTATTTTCTCTGCAATCTACAAAAGGTACCTGAAACACATTTTTAAAGGAAAAGTGTCTTGTGCAGGCTTGTTCGACTTGTGCTAAAAATTTTTTTGAAGATGGCATGAAAAGCACATGAATTTTATGTCTTCAGAGTATAAACATCTGTTTTCATCAAAACAAAGGATCCTGACTTGTGTAGACAGAAGGAGTTTGTTTTCTCTCTTGGACTCTTTAGCTAAGCGACAGGTTAGCAGTCACTGATTGGTTAAAAAACAAAGAACCAATCCTATGTCTTTTTTACTTTATCTTATTTTTATTCCGATCCACACCTGGATATAAACTTTCTGCTTACTTTCAGTCATTATTTGACGTCTATAGAGTTCTAAAGTATGACATCATCAAAAACCTTTTTTTAGAATTTCTGAATTTCAACAACATAGCGTAAAAGATCACCATGAAATACTTTCAAAAACGCAAAATTGGCCAATTATGTCTAAAATCGATTGAGATATGGCTAATGAAAGATTTGAAGTTTGCTAACGAATTACTGTTATTTTGGCTCTGTTCATAAAGTTATGAACAGAGACCAAATTCCCAAACTGGAAACTTTGCTTATTGCCTGGACAAGTTTACTTTGAACATTTGAGACTGTGCGCCTGAAATCATACAATCTTAGTTACTTTTATTGTTAATAATGTTAAATGCTATTGTCTAGGGATCTAGGGGATTTTGCGCGTCCAATATACAAAAGCGCGCAGATGTGTGCGCGGGCAATATATTGCGGGCGCGCAACAAAGTTTCCAGTCTGGCAAAATACAGAGGTTTGATGGGGAGAGAACCAATAAACAAGTGGCCATATCTCTGCCATTTCGTAATACACTTGCCTGATTTTGCAAATTTAGAGGTATCTCATGATGTTCTTTCAGGTTATGGGATCCAAATTGAAAAATTCTAAAAAAAGATTTTTGTGACGTCATCACTTTAGAACTCTATCATACTCTGAAGAGCGTCAGACAAAAAGTGCTCCAGTATGCAATGTTTCAGGTATTTCGCACCATCTTCAAATTTTGTGGTAACGAAATCTTCATTGATTTTTTGCATGAATTTCTTTGAACTACCCTAGGGAAATTTAAGAAAAATTATCTCAGGTGTGCATTTGGCCATACTCTTCGAGTCACCACAAAACCTGATACAGTACTATCGAATTTCATTTTTGATTGGAATAACCTTCTTCATTTATGTTTGTTCTGTGTAAGAGAGTTGGGAGGTCTGAATTTATATTCAAAATCAAAACCATTTTATAATTGCAAGCAAGGGCCGCAGAGTATCTTTGGGCTAGGCCTGTTGACTGACCCACAAAAATTCCCATACCATTTCAGCTGTGCAGTTGCAGTTATCATGGAAAGGCCAATCTTTAAAGGTTTTCAGCCTCTCTGATTGTAGATACATATCCATTGTCATCTTTGGCAAGTCAAAATCCGCAAGATCGATTTCTTTTTTCGTCGCCATTTTAAATTGTGCTTGTTTTTAAAATTTATGCCGCGCGTTTTCAACGAATTGGAACGTAATAGACAGGGACACCAGACCTGTATTTTTAGCTCCTGCTCAGCTTCACAGCTCGATATTCTTTTTTGGAGGGAAGGGGGGATATGCCGACACGGGAAAAGCCATATTTTGGACTTGAGTTGACTTTAAGGGTTTCAACATAGTAGGAATTCCTCAACTTGTGAGAGAAAATTTATTTAAAATAAAAAATCCAGAATATCTTTATAAAATTTATTTAAAATCTTTATAAGAGCTCTTGGTTGTATAGAAATCAGCCCCAGTTTTAGTTTGGGGTCTGGAATTCAGGCTAAGAGATCATTGATGATAAAGGATGGGCGTAGCGGAGGCTAAATGTTTTAGGGGGCTTGGAATGGGTTTTGCCCTAATGATGTTGCTTCATTCAGACAAATTTGCCCGAATCGACCTGAAATTAAATAGATTTTGTCTGATTAGGGGGGCTGCAGCCACAGCCCCTATGTCTCCTACGAAGGAGGGCTCCAATATTTTAGAAGACAATAGAGCTTTTCTCAAAATCTTTTGTAATGGGGGGGGGTGTTAAATTTTGCCATGCCTCCCTCATTTTCTAGCCTGTGTCGGAGCCCCTGAAACCCATATTTATTGAGTCAGCTATCAGTGGCTCCCTTGTCACTGAAGTCAAATTTGATGATTGAAAACACTTTTCCTTGCCTCCTTTTTAGATTCTTTAAATTACCTTGCCTCCATTCATTGCGCAGATCCCCAAACGCCAAAGCATGGGGAGAAGTAGTCTGCGCCGCAGACCCTTTGGAGGATTGGGTCTGCGGCGCAGGCTAGGGGAGAAGCGAGAGGTAACAAAAGAGATCCTTTAGAGCCCAGGCTCCTAGCTTAAATTCTGGCGCGCATTTCGTTGATGATAATTTGGCGCCATTTCCATTCACTCCTACGTGCCTTGGAAGTAACTCTGCAAAGTCGATATCTTTAGGCAACAATGACTGCAGTAGCCCACCAGCACCTCCCGTTTCAGCGACAAACCTTCCCACAACATGGGCAGATTCAGGTTAGTTAGCTTTTGTTTTTATGCCTAAACGACTACACGTAAAAGCTATGAACGCCATTATTACCTTTTGTTTTGGCGCTTTCCATGATGATGATGCATGCATTAGCCTATTCAGTACCTTTGAGTTTGCAGTCATCGTTGACTGAATAATAAAAGCTCTCAAAATATTTGCCTTTTTTATTTTACAGATCTTGCTGTTCTCATTTCATGTTCGATTTTTTTCTAGGTTATATTCGGGCCGATGTTCTCTGGCAAAACGTAAGTTCGTGTTCATAAAAACCGCCAACTTTTCATGCGTTTCAAAAAGTAGCAATAAGTTCAAGTAACAACTTTGAAAAATATATACAAGGCCTTCCTCTCCAGTATGGATCCCATGGCAGCTGCACTCCCAATAAATTTTTGCAAAATTACGAGTGTGATTTTGAATGTGGCTCAAAATAAGAAGCTTTTTCAAATGTGACAAAATGACTTTCTAAATTTGTTTATAACTGAGATTGGAAAAAAGTCTGCCCATCTGAATCAAATCATCTTGAGATAGTTGCCGAGAAGTTTGAGTGGCCCTGGGGGAAAATAAAAAATACTGCCCCATGCAAGCGAAGCGAGCAGAAAAGTTTTGACCAGGTTCTTCAGATTAGCTTAAATACACCTCAAAATATTGTTCGCAGTCATTTTCTTGCAATTGTTTCAAATGTTTTCTTTAGGCATACATCTGTTACATTTGATTAATTCCATCCTTAAAATAGAATTTTTTTGTAAGGCTCCCTAGACCTCAGGGCCCTTGGACAATTTGCCCCCTGTCCCCCTCTTGGCGTCCCTGCTTGAAATAATCCTTTTGGATAATCATGTCTTTGGCCTTTTTAAAAATTATTTTGAAAATTACCCTTGTACTTGTGGAACCTTTAGCAATTTGAAAAACAGCCACTGATGGTACAACTCTCAATCATTGAGTTTCCCTGATATGTAAAATTGACGTAACAGGATACATGCCAGAAAAATATGCATCACTATAAATCACTTGGAAATTTGGTGCACATTCAAATGTGCACACTTATCACAAATGCACTTTTGCACTACTGGGTAACATTCCCTTGTGCACTCCCAAGATATTGTCGAAACTGCCATGAAATCCAGACCGGCTTCCTTGTTATATTCTTGTAATATCCATCATTCTCCTTTTTTCCACAAACAGTTGGTAGTTTAATATGTTGGCAATAAAGGACCTCCTCAATTACCTTGCAAAACACGTATCTTTCCATTGAATAAAAATTATGTTTCATCTGTGTAGGACTGAGCTTATCAGAAGAGTTAAGAGATATGGATTTGCCAATTACAACTGTTTGCTAGTGAAGTATGCCAAAGATCTGCGATATGATGACATCTGTGTTGCCACTCATGACAGGTGAAATGATTAGGAACTTGACATTTTTCATGGCAATTTTTTCCTTTTTAAAGCTATTTGAACCTCCTTTTTAATAAAGTTTATAGAACCCTGCCTGAAGTTATTATATTGATCTACTGTTGTTTTACACGAAGGGCATATCACTCCACGAGATTCTCATACGACTTTGGCAAAAAATCCTTTTGCTTGCAAGAAAATTCTGCTAAAAGTCTCTAAATATCCTATTGTTCTAAAAAATCTTATACCCATTTTTGGGTAGAGTGATACACCCCTCAGGTTTTCATGTATTTCACATCCCAGTTAAAAAGAACTAGAAAAGGCACAATATTTGAAACTTGAGATAATATTCACCAATTTATTTTTAAAAGACACTTTTTAGAGGAGACACAATTTAAGGGAGAAAATAAAGAAACTTTGGTACTCTTAGTACAAAACTGTATCTAATCAAAAAATTTGTAGCAGCATTTAGAAACCATTGTGTGGAATGTAGATCTTTTTTCTAATAAAGATTGGTTTCTATTGAGCAACTGTTAAAAAGGAAAACACAAACCACTGGCAAACAATATGACATGGAAAACAGAAAATGTTTATGGGCTGGAAATATTTTTGCCAAAAATAAGATTTTTAAAAGTTGCAAAGCTTAAAACCACATGGTAAAGTTTTATTTTCTTTGTAAAGGCAAGTTGCCAAGGCAGTATCCTGTACTGAGCTGAAAACAATAGAAAATACTACCTCAGAATACGATGTTATTGGGATTGATGAAGGCCAGTTTGTAAGTATAATCATTATGTATACAGTTGTTTGCTTATGGTAATGAGCAAAAAGTTTTTATGCACTATATCTAATACTTTTTTGTTGTTCCACATTTTTATGAATAAGAATTGTAAAATTTATTGTTTTTGTAAATTATTATGATGTAGATTTGTCCTAAACTAAAGCATCAATGCATAACTATTATTGTTTGACAAATGTTGCTCATTATGCATTGTGTGTGACAAATTTAGAGCCAAAGAGTTTTGGCATTATTCTAGCCCTAGGATGATGGTCAAAGGTGTTTTGGTGTTAAAATAAACTTTCTGGATGAAAGAAATTTATTAACTGAGCCCATTTGTCAAAAATGGAATGGCCAATTACTAGAAATATGACCATAAGGCTTATAAAAAGCTGTTATTATTTGTTTTCTTAAACACAGTACAAAAATGCAAATAGTGTGCATGACCAGCAAGGATATCAAAGGCTGTTTTGTTCCTACTCCATACTTGGACCTTTCCCAAATAACTTTCCCTCAGTTGGTTTATTGCCATGTAGGATTTCCCATGTAACACAGCACCTTTAAAGTTTGTTAAATAGTGTTTATAGTTGCTCAGATTGATGTACTGCTTCTCTATCATCCTCTGCCTTTCTCACCATTTGAAAAGGCCTGGAAATCCAAGAATTTATAAATTGTATATATGTACATGTGATCAATGATATAAATGTATGAATATATTTCGATTACTTTTTATAACAGTTTCCAGATGTTGTTACGTTCTCTGAAAAAATGGCAAACAAAGGAAAAACAGTAATAGTTGCTGCTTTGGATGGAACTTTTCAGAGGAAGGTAATACTATGCTTGAATAAAGCATGAAGTTTTTTTGCTATTTTTTTGTCCTGTTTTAAAATGATAATTATATCTTGCCCAACATTATATCTTGATATTAACATCATTGTATCTTCAATTCTTTTAGCAGCATAGACAGAAAGTTCACTTAAACTCTTTTCATCCTTTATCTTCTAGGGTTTTGGCTCAATATTAGATTTAGTTCCACTTGCAGAAAATGTTATTAAACTTAGTGCTGTTTGCATGAATTGCTTCGGAGAAGGCTCTTTTACAAAACGATTTGGTTCTGAAACTGAGGTGAGTTGGAAATAATAGTATAGCCAGATTTATTCAAATATTTTCAAAGTTGACAACAAATTAGCCAAAAAGCAGGCCTTTTTGTTAAAAAAAATTGTGAAGATTTTAGTTTTTAATACATTTGTATCAGATGATTATATCTTACTGCTCCTAACCATGAAGGAGCTTGTGTTAATCGCTTTCTTAAATTGAAGGTAAATCAGCCATGAGTCTATATACTGAGTTGTTATCAAATTCTGACATTGCTATATTGTTACAGGTTGAAGTCATTGGTGGGGCAGAAAAATACATGGCATCTTGTCGTTTGTGTCATTTCAAGAAATTGGATAGAATCAGCAATGTTGAAAACATAAAGGAGAACAAAGAGAACATAAACGATCCAATCAAGAAGCATGCAAACGAAAATAAAGTCAATGAACTTAGGAATCCACTGAAGCATAAGACACGTCCAGGCACATGTTTGCAATCAATTGAGAACATTGATTCTTGTCAACCAAAGAAGATAAAGTTAGCTGTTTCGTAAATAAATTTTGTTGAGCTTGATAAGGCAAAGTTAAGAGACAAATTGAGTTCCAGGTTGTTGCCTTTTCTTTTAGTGTAGATATATTTTCTCTGAAGCTCCTTAGCATATTATTTTCAAAATTGGCTTCTTGGGAATAGATATAAGCAGGTTGCCATAATTCTTATCACCTACTTTTAAAAACCTCTGCTTGAAAACCGCTTTTTATCAGAAGAATTAATTTTGGTTTAAATGCCTGATGAAACTCATTCTGAAACATCATTTTAGATGTAAAGATTAACTGTTCTTAATTGATTTTATATTAAATTCTTAGGTTATATCATGTACAAATTTTCTTACCATTTCATTCGTTGTCGATTTTGTATTTGTTTTTATGTATCATTTTATTAAAAATGAAAAGTATTTTCATTTTTGTCTGTCTCTTATGCTCAACTGCTGGTGTAAATTTAGAACCTTCTGTTATCAAAATCTTTTTCAGTGTAATTTCTAGCGCCACGACTTTTCTCAATCATAGAAAAAGCTGAAAAAATCATTCCGAAATGACCCACCCAGCACCAAAATATCATAACTGTAACGTTTATAGGCAAGGAATACACTGAAACTAATACCCTGGAAACCGCAGCCTAGTAAATTGAGCGGGAGCAAAATTTCAAGGAAAAGGGTGTCCTACTGCCCCTTTTGCTTATAAAAATAGCCACAGGGACCTTATCTGCAAGAAATCATGCACGCCGGAACTGCGTCAATTTAACTTGACTACTCGAAGACTTTTACGGTCAAAACGCATTAATTTCGTTACCTTTTTTACTTCACTTTTTACATGACAATGATGTATTATTGGCTGAATACACAAAAGTCTGAAAATGCTTTCTTCCAAAATGGAGTTTTGTTGGAAATGGCCCTGCGGTCGTCACATTTTTCAATTTTTTCTAACATAGTACCTATATCTGCTGCTAAGTTTCCATTCAAAATGAGTATTGTGCAACATTTTTGTTATTTGCAATAAAATGTCTTGTTATTTCAAGATAATTTTTTGCAACCCAAGAGACTGTTTACAATCAACATTTAATCCATTCCAGCCCTCTTCTCACTCATTTTTTAACTTTTGGCTAACTATACTACCCCCCCCCCACCCCCGCCCACCTAATCTGATTTGACACCAACTTTTAATTACCGTACGTTAAAATATCACAGCTAAAAAACGTTTCAGTGAATATCGCTGAGTTTTTTTGCTTTTATGCCACATAAATCCAACACAGTGATAAACATTCGCTTGCATAATGTTCCCCCTTCCTCACAATTAGCTTCGATTATGAATACTACCAAAACTTAGGCCTTTGTACTGAAGTAGCATGCAATCAAAGAATCTACTGTCTCATAATACAACCCGAATTGGAAAATTTGATTCTATAAATACCTGCTAAATTACACTATTTAAAGAAATGATCCATTTTTTCATTGAAATGTTTTATTATATTGTTAATAAATATATGTTTTAATTCTTGTTAATTAATAATTAATTGCCTTGTTATGATTCAAAGTTTTTGCAATCTTCAACATGTTATGCTTCTAATGTCTAGGAATAGCTTAGAAAATTCTACATGCCGAAGAAACTTCTGTAACACAGAGATACAATGTTGACGAGACTGCTTCATTCTTGGACCTACAACGCCTGCCAGAAGTCTTGGAACACTCCCCTCCCCTTTGAACGATGTTGGTTTACTACAAAACGACGTAGGAGATTAGAAAGTGTGTTTTTCGTATGACTCGCATGATATTTGTCTAAACTATCAACATAGCTTCGGGATTCAAGAACGAAAGTAGAAGTATTTGGGAAAAGAATTTTAAAAATATGAAAACACAGCACAAATTGTTGGGTGTTCCAAGTACTTTGGCAGGCATTGTATGACTTTTGCATTGAAAAGTGGTTCCACAACTATGAAACCTAACGTTTAATTACTTTATACAAAATCACAGTCTTTTTCTGAGCAGTTTTCTTCAACAAAGAAATTCTGCAAACTCATTGTTGCCATCCTAACATGATATGTAAACGCCGTTATTTTGATTTTCAAGTCCTCAATCGACCCAGGCTTCTCCTTCTCCACATCACTCAGTGCTCCGCGTAAGCCCGAAGAATGGTATACATGCCTACGATAAAAAAACGCCATTTTGTTTATCAGTTGCAAGAATATCTTAAACATACCTAATTACAATGAGCATGAATCCAAAAGTCATAAATATATAGCATGATAAACGTAAATAGATAAATATCTTTAAGTTTTTTACATATCGTTATAACTATATGTTTATAAAATCTTTTATAAAAGGAGAAAAAATTCAGTCTGAAAATATAACGTACATAATTTACAAAAATCGTCATAAGGATCTATTTTTTAAGTTATTGATATTTGAACAAATAACCTAAAAGAGCATTGTGAAATACCACTAAATGTGCGAAATCAGTTAAAGGTATCATTAATAGTCTAAGGACTAGGCTCTACCAATCTAAGAACAAGGCCAAAATAACAGCTTCACTATTAGCAAAACTCAGCTTTTGCATGCAATAGCTCTGTCAATTTTTGACCGATTTAACATATTTTGCACTATTAAAGGTATTTTGTGGTATTCTTTCAGTTGATGTGATCAAACATAAAAAAGTCCAAAAAATCTGCTTATAAAATCAATTTCTGAACTCTTTTCTGGACTTTTTTCTTACTGAACGGAATTAATTCTTATGATATAAGGACAAAAAAAACTTCGCTTTGACCTAACATTACTGAATTGAAAACACAGTAGAGAGCAGATAGCATTTTTCGACCTAAACATAAAATTACCACTGGGACATATCTCTGTAGCAGTTTTCTTCATAGCATGACAATGACAATTTATTTGCATTTAACCACATTGCAAAGCAAATACCCTGTATTATTCAGATACATAGGGAAAACATTATTCCAGGGCCTGATGATATAATAAAGCGCTCAACTTCTAATCTTTATGAAGATTCCAAATCTATTGAAGATTATTTTATGTGTAACCTTGATTACCTTGTGTATTCACCAGGAATATCTTCTGAAAGCACAAAGCTCCTTTCAAAAAGCATAAGCTTGTCGTTGGCCATTCTAACAGCCAGTGCACTGCAATAGAATTGTGAAAGCAATTAAACATGTAGCGGGTGAAGATATTTCCATAACGGACTGGTTGTCTTTCAAGCTTAAAACTGCGATACCCTTGGAGTCCCAGTTCAAAGTTATAGCTTCCCCTCGATGTCTGGTCTGTAGCAAAAGGCAAAGGGAAAATGGCTTTATTACCCTTGCAACTGATATAGAAAACTTTGCTACTAGTAAGGAAAGGAAATCCTCGATTCTCGGCTCATAACTCTATTTGCCAAGTCTGGGTTTTTTGGACTCAATGGCGAGTCTGGTGCAGGAAGTGAGGTTTATTCTTGAATAGCCCACAAGGGCTCCCAGTTCCTTTATTACATCATTGAATGTCAATGCTTTAGATTAATTTCAAATAATATTACTTACTCCTCTTTGTCTATACTTTGCAATCTTTTGTGGAAATCAGATGTTGCTTTTTTGAACTTCTTGCAGGCTTCTCTCATAAGGTCTAGACAGAAAGTTGAAAGGTTCTTTGATTTTTACTTCAAAGCAAGAAAATATATTAGATGCTGCACAGGAAAAAGCAACAATTTTTCTACAAACTAAAAGCACTCCTGATCCACACCTAATCATAAATTTCCACTTAGCTCAGTCGCTGAAGAGCGTCGGCCGAAAATATTCAACGTATGGTTTCACTTCAAGATGTCACTGTAGGTCGTTTTAAAAGGATTCGTAAAAGGAGGTCCAAGGGTCTCTTTGCCTACTTTCTCGTTTCAAAAGGTTATTTTCTTTCTTCGTTGGGTATACCAGATGCCCCAAGCCTATTTCTCGTTTCAGGCTCTTCGCCCTCCTGCAGTTTTCTTATTTCTATATTGTTATCGAAATAGACAAAATAGTATCCCAGGGCGATTTTCTAACCACGTAAGATGTTTCTGATATTTGAACTTCCAGTCAAATAAATGTCCATTCTCATCCTACAAATTAAAAAAAGTTCCAAGTGCATTAGTAGTTTTTCCGTCTGACTTACATCACGCCTTGCAAGCCTTAGCAAGCTCTACCCATCACCTTTACCAACATGCCGGAATGAAAGCAAACTAGTTGAATAACTGTTGCATGATTGGTTGGTCAGTTTTCGGGAATGGAATCTCATTTTATGGATTTCAGTCCGTCGCAAAAATTGTCCCTCTAGCGAATGTATTTTGCTGCAAATACCGCCATTTGAGATTATGCACAGATATATCAAAGCTTGCATGCAGCTTTACTGTCCCATGTGAATACTTCCAAAGTAACTTTGCTATGCTTTCAAATTTAGAACGGGGTTATACATTAAAGAACGTCAGAGACTACACGTGTGCTATCGAGGATCAACGACAAATTGCCTGTTTAACTTCAACAAACCATCTCTTTCAAGCTTCGGGATACTATCAAAGCACTATTCGGCTAGCAGTACCTAGCTAGCGAGCTGCAGGTCAAAGAGAAGCAGGTGGGTGACCATTTTTTCAGATAAACTATACAATTTCAGAATTACATAGAACGGTGTTTACTAGAAGCAATTTTATCAGACAGTCTTCGAAGGATGCAATGTCAGAATAATGGTCAATATCTGCGTATGCAAGTTTAGGTCGCTTTGTCAAGTTACAAAGGCTTGTTGTACTTTATATCATTTTCGCAAGTTATTTTACTCATTGCATTGTTATGACCTTCATTAGGCCATTTTCACGCCAGCTCAACATGTTCGTCCCACTCACGCCCATGAGCAACCCAGTCACAGTTCCCATTCCGCTTGCAAACGAGGCGAAGAGTGTAAACTGTGTTACTTTACTAGTACATTAAAATTTGGTTTGTCTTACACAAAATCGTTGATTTCAGCTCAAACTGAAAGGGGATCTATTCCTTCAATACAAATACAGACAATTTCGTGGCATCTAGCCTAAGAATGATTGCCCCCTTATTCTTTTCACTGGCTGCAGAAAGTTCCTATATCATTGTTCAAATAATATCAAACTATGATGTAATCGGTAGTTTTCTTTAGATTAGAGACAATTTAATGCCAATTTTATCTTCATAAGTAAAATGGCACTTTTTTTCAAACCTTTGCAGGAATTTCGTTACTCTTACTGGTTTATTGAAATGAAGTTTCAAAACGTTTGCCTTTTTTACTAGTTTAACAATTACTAGTTTTTCTTATAAACTGTAACTTTAAGTGTTCATAAGTATTCAAACTTCGTAAAAATTTTGCAATGAGATAGTTTACGGCATTTTTGCTCAACCTCCAACTGGTATCCATGGTCTTAAAATGTCACGTACGTTGCTCTTGTGATCCTTTACCGACTCAAAGAGAAAATAATTCATCTAAAAAAGATATGCCGTTTCAAGAAAAAAAGTACTACCAATTGCGTGAAATAAAGTACTACCAATACTAAAGACAGCTTTCTTAGAACTCCAAAAGCTCCAAGACCGCTTACACTTGTAAATCCTCCAAACCTACCTGTATTCAAGTCTTTGGCCTTCCCAGACTCTTTCTTGATTTTCTCAATTTCCTCAGCTTGTTTGAGGAGATTCTCCCCATACCTCCTGATATTGAATGGCAACAGTATCCCATCAGCCATTGCTAGAGCCAGCTGTATCCACAGCTTGGCAACAGTTTCATGGTAACGGAAATCTGGATCAACAAATCGTTTCATCCAGTCAAAGTTGTCGTGGATGCTGTGGTAGACTGGGTATTTAAAAACACCTGTTTGTTTCTGCAATCGAAAACAATGAAATTTCAGCTTTAATGAAAATCAAAATGGTAGAAAAATTAAGATACATTTCAAAGTTATTGAAAAAGGTGGCCCCTTGCACATAAAGACCTCTTCAATAGGAGTTTTATCATAATTATCTGAAAAAAAATCTGGCATAAAATTGATCTTGGGTAAAAAAGTCCTATCAGTAGAAAAAACCTGAAAAGTTTTCCCAAAGAAAATGAACATATGATGTAACTTTTAGTATTGAGCAATGAAAGGAACTATTAGGATAAAAGATGTGGTATTACTACCCTAGTAAGTTACAAACTAGGGAAGTACTAGTTGAATATTCTTAATAAAAGCATCTTTGTTCTAAAATACAGAGAAATTGTTAGCGATAAATTTCTCTAAAGTCATTATTTCTTTGATTTAAACTAAAGGAATTTCCGTTGGTGACAGTTGTGAAATTCTCGCACATCTGCTGACTTTCGTCTCTTTAGTAGAAATTCTATGCTTGTGGCTCAATCTCAAAAGCTATTCAAACGTCAATGACATCAAGCAACATCTCTCGTGAGCTACAAACGAAAATTGAAAATGCTCACCGAATCAAATGTAAACCTGAAGTCCATCGAAGGGATCCCAAGATCAGCAAAGAACGGCATGTAGTCACTCCCTGTTTTGAACAGTTCTGCCCTATGAAGACAGCAAATGAAGATAAAATAACATGCTCAATAGAACTAGAAAAGGTACCAGACGTATAGGTAGCACTTGGAGAGTGAAAGGGGTGACGTTGAAAGGGTTGGTTGTCTAGGGGTTACGTTTTTTAGTTTACTTTGCACAGCCATGCCCTGTATGCGTCTGTTAAAGGAAATACGCCCTTTTGTGTATATTGGAGCCAAACACGTTGACATATATCCTTTGGCAGGAACAAGTGCAATGATTATAAAAAAATAGAGGCCTCAAATCTGTCATTTCCCTTCCATGCATTACTGGAAGTCACTATTACCAAAGCGAAAGTTTTAGGGGTTTAGAGCATATAAAACAGGTTTTGACTCCACCTAAATCGATATATTATTCACAGTGATTGCAAAAAACCATAGATATATTCTCTATAACAGACTCTTCCGATAAATAGTCGCTAAGGCTGAATAGAATTACTTTTTGGAAACTTGACAATAGAGAGAAGGGGACCCTAAAAGTAAATGAACGAGGATCTGCACCCACATTTTGCTTGCCAGACAGTGAATGTAATAAATATAGTCTCTGATACAATAGTTAAAAAGACCAGTCGAAAAGTGTCTTGATAAAAGCGTGATTGACATACAGCTACAGTCGAGTGACATTTGCAAACCAGTATTAGTGAAAAAGTACCTTAACTAACAGAACTTTTATGCTTCATCATTTTAACCTTCCTAACTAGAGTACTTCATTTTTTGAACTTTTATAAAACGCTGAGGTCAAGAAAGGTGAAAAGTATTGGCTTTATGCTCAACTTTCATATAGTTCAAATATTTCCATAGCCAATTTCAAATCTCTTCAAATAAAGCATTGAACAAAAAAGCAAACTAACACTCACTCTGGCTCGTAAATGTTATTATTTCCTCGTTTTTTGACCCAAGTGTCGTACAGGTTGCTTTCTTTATCATCTGGGTCTTTGAACTGAAACGACGATAATAGGGTTCACAAAGTCAGATAAAATGTTAGAGCAACTTTTGGTAAAGTGTACTCAAAGTTCACACAGAGGAGCTTAGCTGTTGTAAAAGAATGAGTTTTATCTTGGCTAAAAATTAAATTATTTTGTAAGGTTGCAATGTTTAAAGGCAAACGTGGAAGTAGTAGACTGTGATTATGAATAACCTTGTGATCATTGAGGGCTTAGCGAACATTGTCACTGGTGAACATGAAATAATCAATGTGTATGTCACATACAAGAACATTCAGAGGCCGATATGCTACATATTAAAATCTAGCATAATCTTCAAAAAATATAGCTATATAGCTTTATTGAAGTTACGGTAGATGAGCATGAAAGGCCGTTATTCGCACAAAACTTGCATCCAGCAAAATCTAGAAACATTTTGTATCAAAATTCACAATGCAATGTCTCACTGATAACTGTCATTCTAGCAGTCTCAATTTGCATAAAAGGACAAAAAATACAATAGAAGAGTTTATACTCACCATCTTTACAATATCGTAAAATGTGTCTCTCAAATGGGGTGTCGATTTCAGTTCTATTGTATAGTTCCCTGTTGGCGACGAACGTTATGTGTTCAGTTGTTTTAGTGAGCTGGATCGAATTCAATTCAATAAAAAAAATAAAGAAATCGGTTGAAATATGTAGTTATTGCTCTTTTTATGCTTTGCTTCATATCCCTTGTTAAATGTTTTGTTTCTTGATATCTCGCTCACTAGTCTCTTTCTCAGATTGTTCTGGAAATCAGAGAGTTTTCTCTTATGCTAGAAACGTGTGCCCTGGTTTTCTCTTTAGAACTATGAAAAGTTACATCTTCACAGGTTTAAATGTTCAAAAATTATCTGTATATTTTCTCTTATAATGAATTTTAACTTGGTTAAAAAGGTGGCCTTGTTCGGGTTTCTTTGATATCGACAAATTACAATCAGGCTAAGCCGCCTTCTTCTTCTCTTCGTTACTCTATTGCATTTAAAAAAATTTGACCCAGAAGTGGTTTCTTGCAAACGAATGTGCCTGGTCATTCTGCAGCAATTAATATTCTTATGCAATCTCTGTTGTTGCTTGATGTTAGCTTAATTAGTTTGATTTAACGAAACAGAACTAAAACAGACTATTTGACTTTTGCTAGGAATGAAAAAAATCTGCTTGTATTTTTGGAAGCTGCTGAAAGTTAGACAAGACAACGTATGGGAAAACCTAATTTCACACCTAACCAAGATGAACTCAATTTAGTTATCAAAATGATATTTACCTTCAACAGCAGTATCAATGTTTAAATACGCAACGGCTCGTTGTGTTAGAAGCTTTGCATGGTCCTAGAATGGGAAGACGTATAAATCTTAACTAGTAATAAATTGTAAATGGTAAATTACATCAGTGTTTGATAGAACGGGGTTGTGCCATTAAGAGTCAAGTATTACCCCCCCCCCCCCCCCATCATTAATCTTCAAAAGTTCGAAGATGGCACATTCTGGTACAACTGCGTTCTGGAAATAAGGAGGTGGGATGGGTGACGCCTGCTTCTATTTTATTGAAATTCCAGTCCAAGAGTGCCTACCAAAATTATCATTCATCTATTCTACCTTTATAAGCTGCTTGAAAACATTTATTAGCATAAAGCTCTATATTCCATGAATTGCAGAGAACAAGGGCCTTGCAGATGTCTTTGGTTTCTGGCCCCGCAGTCCCTAAAATTGCTGCTGTATCAATGAGGTTGCACTGCTCTTTTCACCTCAATTATACCAACTGAAAAAGTGCTAGGCCTACATGCAAATTACTTTATATCTCTTCTCTCTCTCATAGATCCTCCGTATAGTTAAGCTTATTGACTTCTAACCTTCTAACGCATATAAAAAGCACTGGGCCACATTTAATGCATAACCCTTCAATTTCGCAACCCTATGAGAAAATACTGATCATAGAAAGACTTTGTACTGATTAAGCCAGTAAGTGGTACATGAATCAAGGTGCAACATTCCTAACTGCCAGCTTCCACGCTGAAAGAATCTTTAAAGTATAGCTTTCCCAATCTAAACTTATAAAAGCACACAATGAGAGAAGTAGGTAGTACGAATGCCCACCTCTGCCCATTCTGTAGAGCCAATAAGGCCGTATTCTTCTGCATCCCAGCTGCATAATAAAATTGATCTTCGTGGCTTCCAACCTATAGTGGCAGAGTTAAATAGGTCTATAATAAGTAAATGATTTTTGGTGATATCAAATTTAGAAATGGCTTAAAAAACAAACATATCAAGACATACTTCAAAACTTTCTTCTGAAACTAAGGATAATCTGAGCTGCTTACTGTAAAGTCTAGTACAACTCATTTCGTAATATGGACCCTTTTATATTTTTGTACATTCATATTTGTACATTTAATTAAACGCACACAGTTTGTAATAACTTCTGTTGCTGACATGCTGATCTTCACTAGAAGTTCAACAGTCAAAGACCTTTCCAGATGGGCAAAAGATGAAGAATCGTTTATATGGACTAAACAATTGCAACGTGAATAAATTGACACAATTTTCTAAGGGCAGGGTGGCATCGCCTATTTGCTGACTTCTTGTGCCAACACCCTTGTATCTGTAACACTACTGTAGCATGATTAAAAAGCAAAGACTTTATTATGGAAGCTGAAACCATTTATATCATGATAAAAAGACTGCCCTGTACTCTCTCAACTTCTTTGAAGCTTCAGTTGTAACAAAATTTTCCCAGGGTCCTTTTGGGCCTTGATGATTTTGAACAATTGAACTCACGTCGTAATAGGGAAGAAACTGTATGCACAGAAAACCTCTTCAAAATTTCTAGAGCCAAAAATCGGCATGATTTGGTAACTGACTTGATAGTTGAAAACGCAAAATGGAAATTTTCTTCTTGATACAAAACTATATACAGAATAAGATTATCTTTCGCTTTTTTCCACATCATTCGAAGTAAGCAAATTATCTCTAATAGTCATTCTCTTACGTAAAAGAAAATCTCCGTGCTTTGAAAGCCCCTTACCTTTAGATTTGAGCCAGCCGAGCCCCCTTGCAACCTCTACCATTGTAGCTGTTCCACTTGATGGATCTGCTGCCCCAAACACCCATGCATCTCGATGATTGCCAAGAAGAATAAGACGGTCTGTTAAAGAAATTAAAGCTATTCGAAGGGAGTGTAGCTGCTATACTGGTCTTGAGTAGCAAATGGCAGTATCAAAATTCTAAATCACGGTTGAAAGCCCGTGGCATTAGACTCCAAAGCACCATATTTCGTAGAAAACAAATTCCATTGCAAGTTCAAGATTAAAGGGATCTACGGATCAGACTCACCGGGCTCAACATGTCCTTGAAATGTTCCTATGACGTTGTAAATGAATCTATCTTCTCGATTCACAGAAATTTTTACTTTTACTTTTCTGGGAAGAAATACAGAAATAAATGGAAACAGGTACAGTAAGTATCAAAGATGCACATAGGCATTGTAAGAAATGCCATGAAAGAAGCCTAGCATTTAGTTGGGTTTAGCAGTCTTTTCAATTGAAAATCAAAAAACAAAGAAAAATGAGATGTTTTTTTTAAAAAGAAGTATCATAACATCATAACATTGTATCATAACAGAGAAGTATCACTAGAAAAACTTAGGAAGAAAGAGGGGAGAACTGAGCTGCTAACGTGTTCAGTCTCTCAATAGCTTGCGTAAACTCAGATCATACGGTAGCATTACAAGCAGTTTAACTAGTGTTGCACCACCAAACAAATAAACGTAATTTATACTACAGGTTAATTTATGCAATGGCAGGGAAATAAAATGAGCAACATATAAATTACGATATTTGTGAAAGAGATTTTACTGCAACCATATAAAATGAAAGCTATGGTAAACTATTTGAAATGCAAAGAGAGATATTGAAATAATTGACCAAAGAAGAGAAGTCTGGAAAACGACCATAAAAATAAGAATTACGAAGAATTTTTCTCTTCCAGCAGATTCTTTCGAAACTGTGTGATACAGAGTATCTGAAAAATTGGCTAATGGGTTTTTTGTATGATGTTGTTGTGAGATTCAGTTAACCTAAGCATCCTAGACTTCTGATAACCTAGCATTCATCTCATTCTTTGTTATTTAGAAAAGTCATTACATTTAACGATTCCAATACCAATACATAAATAATCTAGGTTAGCTCATGACTTTGGCTGTTCAAATTCCAATACAATGACTTTATATGAAAAGAGCACTGGTAATGGAAAGCAACTTTCAATTGAGGATACATACCTCCTCTTCTTTGAATTTATTCTATATGTTGTTTCCAATTTCCCTCTCCATGATTTGTCAGGTACCTCTTTTCCATCTAAAATTCTAACAATTAAAAGAATATCAATCAAAACTTACATAAATTTGCAATATGCAATGCCGCGATTGAATTTTATACCTCATCATCTTTGTAGAAACGAAGACATCTGTATGGAAAATTTTCTTTTTATTTTCAACGATGCAATACCATAACGTTCTAGCTAAATCGTTTCTCGCTGCAAGTACGTTATCTAAATTGTTTGGATTATGCATCAAAGCTGATTGCCTCTGTTGAGAAAAGAAGGAGCATTTGCTTCTAGCTAAATTGTTTCTCGTTACTTATCTACATTGTTTGGATTATATTTCAAAGCTGGTTGCCTTCTTTGAAGAAAGAAGAACACTTACTTCATAAGTTTCTCTGCATTTTCGTAGCTGATTGGGAGAATGGGCATCTTTGGGAAGTAAGCTACATCATTGAGATCCCATCGATGAAAGCCATCTGAAAAAAGATGTTAAAACTCTCGTCTTTTGTAATGAAAACCTCAATTTTACCGTCAACACTTTTATTTCGTGCAGAAGTGCTAAGACACAGCCCTAGGATGAAGACATTCATCTAATAATTCCATACTAAAAGAGGGGACTTACCAAGGGCTGGGCGTCCGTTTGAGTTTAAACAGTTTTTGCTTTAGTATTTTCAAATTTACTAGTTTAGAATCATGCTGCTAAATGGTATTTAGCATATCTGTTACGCTATTTGGTGTATAGAACGGATAGTTCTAAGTTGCCACTCCGAGTTTCACGCTTAAAGCGATCACCAGGCAACTGTTCATGAGCATCTTAAAGTTGACAACTAAAGCGACCTGTTCTATACACCAAACAGTGTGTAAAGCACTTTATGACAGACCAGTAAACAGTAAATTTAATTAGCATATCCGTTATATTATTTAGCATAAAATCTCGCATACAAAAAGCCCTAAGAGGAGCTATACTTACCAAGAGCTGGGTATCCATTTGACAGGGGATCTCCACGTATTCGAAGCACTGTCCCTCTTTGGACACCATCCTTTGGCAAATACCAGCTGTCTGGGTAGGAAACGCCTCTTGGCGAATATTGCTCAGGATCGGAGTAGATGATTATGCCTTTTACTTTGTGCGCAGTTGCTACTTTTAGCTATTAAAAAATAGAATAAAAACAAGTAAGATTTAGACATAACAAGTTATTTACAACAATAATTTGGGTCACTATCAATTTTGCAAACAATTTTTTCGCGGTAGAAAAATTGTGGGTTTTGATCTATGTTTTGATGATTTATACTCTGAAGAGTATCAGACAAAAAGCTTAAGTATGTTTCAAGATGTTTACATTTTCAAAGCCATTTTCTTAGATATTTTTTAACGATGCAATTTTTTCTAAGTTTGAAGCCTACATTGACCTTATGTTAAGTCAGCTTGCTTTCCTAACATGGCATCTTGGCTAGTTTTTCATTTTTTATTCAATCAATGATATTTTTGCACATTAAACATTTTTGCGTTTTTACTCGTGATAAGTACAGACTCGTTTAAAAGAATCTAAAAAACTGTACATAAAAATAGCACCTTATTCCAACAGAATAATACTTCTATTCCCTTTAAACTTTTAAAAACTGAATCTAATTAAGAAAACTATAACTACATGGCATTCAGTCTACTCAACCAAATAGAAAGTAGCAAGCAGTGACAGCCAGAAGTAATAACTCGTCCCTTAATACCAAGATAGTCGTCACAGTTGCTAAGTTTTCTGTTGAAATTTTAATCAGTGTAAATTACGACTTCTTATACTACGATTATAGGTTATACTTAGATAGGCAAATGATGCAAATTTTATAACTTCTTTTGGATGATATTTAACAGTAACCTGATAATAATTTCTAGTTCGCTTCTGAATACTTGAAACTTTTGTGCTACCTTTTGATAAAATTGTTGCTACTTTGATCTCACTAACAGTATTTACCTTTGCAATAAGATTTTGACAAATAGCTTTGATTATGAAACTGGATATCAGTACCAACGCCAGTAATGAGCGGCATTATTATTTTGTGAAAATTGAAAGAACAAGAAAGATTAAAAAACACGGATGCTTGGTCTTTACAAAGGCTACTGTGAAGTTTTCACCAGCATAAAAGTCGGAATGGCTAGGCATTGGAAACAGATTTAAAGAGATGGTGAACAGAACATGTTGAAAACTATTCTATCTAAAAACAGTGAAAATTAAGTTAATTGCAACACTCGAAGCAAACGAACGAATACTGAAGTGAGTAATCGTGAATTTCTAACAATAAACAACTGTTCTTGGAATATTTCACCTGATTTGCAATGATGAGAAACTTACCTTTTTGGCTCTAGATGTGGAACCGTATCTAACCAAACAAATACAGTTCTTAAGATCCACCCCACTCTTCTGTAAGTGCTCGAAATCCTTTTCTAGTCCAAAATTTGCATAAACAAGCTCACCCTGCAGGGGAAAAAGAGTCAAATCCATATCATTGCATTATTTGAAGAAAGCATCAACGAATCTAAGTTTGCAAAGAACGAGCTATGAAGAATGATAATGAAAAAGATCCATTCTTCAAAGAAAAATTATCAAGATTAACGCATTTGGAATTTATGATCAAAATTATCATAAATTCCAAATGCGTTAATTTGAAGAGGAGGGCGTTGGGAGTAGATATTAATCAAATACGTTGGTGTATTTGCAGTGACAGGCATCAGACACAAATATATGCCCTGCTGAATATTACGAAAATTTCTTAAAACGATTTGTAGTATTTACCTCAAATGTGCCAGACTGTGAGTATGCAATAAATGGCGGCATGGCTCTGGAATCGTTCTCATATTTGTTGTAACTCTTCTCGACAGATTCAAAGGCGAAATCTTCCTTACCATCATCATCAAGAACCTTTACGCTGCCAGGTTCAGTTGGGTAAGATAGCAATACTTTATACTTCTTTATTTCAACTCGGTCAAAACCGTACTCTTTGAATTTTTCCGCCATCCATTCTGCTTGTTTTTTGCTTTCTGGTGAACCGGCAATATGTGGCATACTTGTCAGATACCTAAGATCAATGTTTGATGTCAATCATAGAAACACACATGCTTAAAAGCATCAAGACAAAAATGGCATTGAAACCAACCACAGTCCCCAAATTTCACTTAGAACTACGTAGGGTTTATTTGTTACCCCACCCCCTTGTGTGAAATCAGCAATATGTCTTTCTGTCCTAGTACATCTGTCCTGTCTGTGCTTGTAATAGTGGAAACGAAAGTCTATGATTATCAGCAAGATAAAATAAGGAACTTATTTTATCTTGTTATCAGCAATCCACTTACAGGGAAACAAACATAGAAAAAGAAAAGACCTTAGGCCAACTGTTATAATCGTTTCCATGAAGCAAATCTGGAAACATGCCTTTTGTTTTTCATTTTACAATTTGTTTTGCACGAAAAGTTCGGAAAATTATTGTCCAGTGAGTTTTGCAAAACTTGTAAAGAAAGGAATGACATATTTTCTTAGAAGTTCATCCAAATTTGCCATGTTAAATGGAAAATAAACATGATTTGAAACTACTGGATGAAATAAACTAGATACATGTTAAAAACGAATAGCAAACTTCGCTATCCTGCAAAACTGGACATCGAGACAAGCAAATGAAAACTTAGCACACTCCATTTAGGTACGATAATTGCTTCATTTTCAAAAACCAGGCAATAGAATAATTGTCAATTCCTTGCTACTTACAGTCTCGTCAATGAAAGAAAACAATTATAGAAGACCTCATTCCATTAAACCAGCTTCACCTTGTATCATGGTCATAACCTATAATTCTAGGTAGAAGGTGTTAAAGTTCTACCCGCTCCCTTTCGGTTTGATCATTGTTCCAATACATATGTTCCAACTTTGAGTGAAGGATGAAATTCGTGACAGTGCTATACACCTAGCACAGTACCGTAGAAATGATAGAATGATTAGAGGGGTACTGATTTTTGTAATTTTGGGATTTTTCATCGGAAACAGAGGATTTTCACAATTTTTGGAGGGGCATAAGCCCCCCTCTAAGATCAATATTAGTTACGGTCAAGCACGGGCATGACACGAGGCCAGGTGTTTTCTTAACGGTATTGTTCAGGAGTGTTTCATAGGCCATATTCCAGAGTTAAAAAAGTTGTTAGTTGGCCTGGAAAAATGATTTTTCGTCCTTTGCAAAACCTGGATAGCAGAGAAGAAACCAATTGATCGATCAAGTTAACTTTTAGCAATTTAAAAAACAATCAATTGCAATCCCACCATCTTTCCTGTAGTAGGAAGATAATGCCCTTAAATTTACTCTGTTTTGGTGGGCCTTAGGCATTGGGTTAACACTTAGATTTTGTGCCATTTCAAATTTACAAATATATTGAAAAATGAGAAAGGTTTAGATGATATAAGAATGTTTTTTAAGTTAGTATGTTAGCCTACAACTGTACATGGAAAACATAAATTTACTATTAGTTACTGAAAAATATTTTATTTCCCCTAAAATGTCACTTACGATCCGAAAGTAGAGGACAATAATTATTTAGTTGAAAGAGAAAAACTGTGCCTAAATGATACATTGTTAGTTAAAAATTTTCACAACCTGCAGCCAATTAAAATTCAGATGAAATCTTCTGTGGCATCGTATAATATTAGCAATTGTTGAAAATAAGCCGAAATCAATTTATTTGCTTGATGCAATAAAAACGGCCTAAGGCGTATTTGGCCCACATAGCATCAAATTATGCCGTTGTTGTTAATGTTACATAAAAAAGGCGTACATACTTTAGGTTCTTTTCGATATTACTAGCGTAAAGCTTTTCTGCCACCATTGCATGATACTCTACTCTCTGTTTCTCATCTTTCGATGTCTTTTTATCCGAAGCGCTTCGCTGTTTTACGAAAATACTATTCTGCGACGTTCCGGTATATCTATGTAAAAGAAATACTGCCAAGCTAAGTGTCAAAGAAAGAGTTAAGAACAACGATAATGTAATGTATATCCATGGAGAGCGCTTCAAGTTTTTCAGGCTCATCTTTGGTTAGTCTGTTTAAACCATCTTCAAGCAAGTATCACTAAATAAAAATACTGTTAAAATCCATGAACCAGTGCAATAGTTTAGATAAAAATATGCTTTAATTGTTAAAAAGAGGTAATGCAGCTGGGGTGTCAAATTCTTGGTTTGTAGGTATCACCCGTTATAAATTTCGTCTATAATTGATAAACCGTAGACATTTAACAGAAACAGGGGGTGCTATGATACAAATTTCTTCAAACAACCTGCGCAGCGCTTGGTGAGCACACGCAATTCCGTGTTGCTCTCATTGACCACAGTCATTCAAGTGTGTAGATTTTGATCACGCTATTAAACTATCACCTGTTCAGATTGTGTTAACTTACCATCAACTTGATCAGCCCCCTAACCGCATTGCTTTATACAAAAAGCCTACCATGGACATCTCTTGAAAAATTGAGACTACTTGCATGCTATAACCTTGCATGTAAGCCATTCTTGCATAAAGGTCGATGGGCATAAAAGATAAAATTTCCTTTTCTCATTCGACAATATCCTAGACTGTGCATTTGGTTCTTTCTAAGATATGTATCTGGTCCGTTAGGCCTTGAGAGCGTATTTGTATGGGACCTCTAAGTCTAAACCATTCCCCTTTTGTTGTCTCTGGCCATATACAAAAGTTCTCATTTTCTTCCAGATGCGCACCGCGAAATTTTTTTCGGAACATGACCAACAATAGTTCCATTCATCAAGATTTTGATTTCATATTTATCATAAGGATTGCCTGGATCAAGAAACATACCAATGTTTAATCTAAAAAGATGCAAACAAATTTTTTCATACATATAATAGCCAGTATTTAACATTTTAAAGGAACACAAACTAAGTGGTATGTTTCCTCATGTTCTTGCCATTGGTTGAAGATTACGTAAGATTAAAATAAATTTTTTACACTGCTGTTGTGATTAACACATAGAAAATCAGCGATTTAGAAATATTTGTTGATTTTTGGAGATGAAATTTAAAGGCCTATTGCCTATTTAGCTCCTCACATAAAACCTACTTTGAAGATGGCACGAAATTTTGCTGTACCAAAAACTTACATGGCTATAAAACGTACATTTTCCTGGCTACTTGCTCCTTGAATACTTCTTTAATATCTAATATGGCATTTTGCAAAATGATTATTTTTACCATGAAGAGATCCATAAAAAACTTTATACAAGAAATATGTAAACACGTAAGCTATCAGCTAAAAATGAGTGCATGGTTATAAAAGCTACGGTAGTAAAATTTGGTGATAAAAGCTTCAACTCTTTGAGAAAAAACTTATTTAATGGTGTACCATTCCATTACTTATAGTACCCAAAAAGCTAAAAATCATTAAGGGGGGGGGGGGGGGTTGTGAGGTTTGAAATGTATATTTGATGTTATTGATTCTAATAATGTTTCATTATGAACAATATTTATTGTTGTTCTTCACTATTATTCAAGGATGGTTTAAGATTTGAAGTCTTCTGGAATAAGTTATTGAAGATAATTTGAAAGTTACCTGGAATTTCACACTATTTTACATTACCGTATTGTATTAAGATTTAAATTTAATTTCAACAATTTTTAAATCCAAGTTCATTACGTTTGAATTTAAAACGTTTTTGCTTTAAAATTTTTAAATTTACCAGCTCATGACGATGCTGATAGAAATGATATTTAGCATATCCTTTTCTTATTTATACAGTAATAAAAACAATGGTCTATAAACAAACTTAGTTGACGAAGACTAAGCTATTGGTATAGATGCTTGAACGAAAAATTTTAAATGATATCCCCCTAATTGATTTATTTTTTAAATTATAACAAATATCTTATAAGTCATAAACATTAAATATTTATCTTTTAGACAATAGCAAGCTATTTGAACATTAATGATTGCGTTGCCAGTACATCCAAGAAGAATGTTTGTTGTTTAAAATGATTTGTCAATTATGCAATATTTTTGGTTGTTATTTGTCATGTTTACTGTATCCGGCAGTACCTCACTCGCGTCAATGAGCTTGTACCTTCGAAACCTTTCGTAATGATAGCTAGCTGTTGATTCGATCAAGTCTTGTGTATGTGTCCTGAGAAATATAAATTTTAAAGCAATGTAATCACATTTTTAAAGATATATTTATGGTAGTTCAAAACTTATGGTAGTAATTAACTCAATAAATGATATGATTTAAGACTTAATAAATTAAAGAACTAATCAGCTAGAATGTAAAAACAAAACTTGAGTTTAACAGTCCCTATTATATCATTTTAAGTTAAAATGGCTGGAGCCTTAATAGTATATAACGATTTCAGTGGAAGTTTACAAACAGAACAGATTGGTATATCCTTATGTAGATTGAAAATTGAGCCAAGTTAAACGAGAACAACTGTAAATTTCAAAATAATTATTTGACAGGAGCAGTTTCATTTTACCTATCGAAAGCAAGCATTAGTTTCAAAATACAGGCATAAAACGATTATTAAGCACTAGGTTTAATAAATCAATTGTTTATTGTACTTTCAATTATATTAGTAAGTATTTGAAAAGTTATCACTGTTTTACAGCTCACAAAAGAGATCCCAGATTACATTAAGCGATTCGTTTTCATACTGCATTTGACTACTCAAAAATCAAGGACCATTTCGTATCTTTTTTATTGATAAAAAATTTTATCAGGGAGAAAATCAAAATATGTTGAATTTTAGCCGATTTTAATCATTGATCGAATCATTGTATCGCACAGCTGGTAAGCTCAAAATATTTTTACATAATAAAATTCAAGTTTATCTCAGTTAGAAATCACTGAAGCTGTGATAAATACTATCATCTATGTTGTTATATTTTTATAATACATGAAGATTTAATATGGTATTACCATGTTAGCTTTATCAATTATAAATGCTGTTGGCTACGTTAATATCGATATGAAAGCTGAAGAGAGTTGCATTCCGAATGAAGGAACGACATTGGAAAATTTTTTATTCAACGAATTCTGAAATATTTTAAATATAATTATCATAATTATAACTATACATAACGGTCACAAACACCCGAAAGAAAGGACAACAAAGGATTATAAAGTAAGACATTAATTATCAATAGTTATAAGAATAGAGTCAATACCAGCAAAAGTCTAGATCATGACGACATTGTCCAAAACGAAACACCTTCATATTTCCTTAGAGTTTTTCTATACAATAAACTTAGAGTTTAGACAAATTCATCTTTGATCAACAAGGTGGCGCGAAAAAACGAATAGCCCAAAGAACACCCACCACTTGTGCAAGACAAACGGCTTAAATGTTAAAGGTGCACCTCAAATATTAGTCTCTATGTGGTTAGCTTTGTATATGAGTCTGGAACCACTTATGGCTTACGGTTAAACTTAGGACTTCAAGAAATTAATAACTTCCTTTGGTTGATAATATACATAAAAGGACGAATTGTAAGTACACACTAAGATCGAACAAAACTGGCTCTAAAAGGCGTTGAGCGCAATGCAACGAAGACAAAGAAATATCGTAAGCGCCACATATAAGCCTTAAGTGTAAAAAGGGTTGTAACAAAAATAATACTTATTAAGAGTGAAGGCGATAAGGAAATCGAGACAACAGTACAAACAATGATTCTAATAGTTTAAAAACCAACCAAAAATAAATCCATTGCTAGATATTTGCGCAGATTTTCGCTTTGTGACTGGAGGTTCTTACATCCAAGCTGCACGCTTCAATATTTGAAACGATTTGATAATAATCGAAGTTGCTTAGAACTCTGGACCGACGGTATTGTGATTTGACACCTCCTCTCTCCAGGTAAATATAGATGTCTCTACAAACACAGCGCCATGAGTGCATTGACTATGCAAGGAGAAGAGGGGGGTAGATATTGAAGGGGGAAAGAGGGATGCATGCTGAAAAGGGGAGAGGGGGACACAAACATATTTCCAAGCATGTGTTTTGGGCGTTTTGTGCAACTTTCCAGGGTTGTAAATGGAGAGCCTTAGATGTAATTAGGTAATTTAAGGTAAAATTGACTCGAAGCCAGGCAAAAAACAGAACAGCCAAAAAGTTACCATCCATAGCCAACTGAAAACCAAACACAACTTCTACGCAGTTTAATTTTCTATTAATCTCAAAACATAGTGCTCAAAGCTCTATCCATCATCAACACAAAAGCTTATTGTATAATTAGTATCATGGGAGAACATCAATATGAAAAAATAGTATTACTGAATCTATGAAAACGATACGTCCATATACACATAGAATTTCCAGTTGGTTAAAAATTCTGTTAGTTTTTCTATGATTTCCAAGGTTACTTTATCGATTTGTTATGCATTTCTGTAAGCTTTGCTCGTCTGTAATTTTCAAAATGAATGGAGGCAGTCACTTCAATCATGTCTTGCATGTGAGTCCTAAACATCAAAATAAAGTCGAACATTGAATAAGAACAGGTTAGTCAGAAATAATGCTTCAGCCTCAATTCCAAAATTTCTCCAACCCATAATTCTAGACTGGATACATGCAAAGATACAAACCTATATGCCCTATATCAAGAGAAAGAAGCGAAATAGTACCTGCACTGAGACACATGCTGTTGTAGAGAACAGAGTCTTTTAAGCAACAATATAAAAACAGGTTAGTGGTGAAGTTTAAAAAAACAGTTTAAACGAACAGTTTAAACAACAATATACAACAATATACAAACAAGTTAGCTAACTTACCAGCAAGTGCCTCTTGCTTTAATTTAGAGAGGTCAAATTTATCAAAAATATGAGCTAGAGGTAACACTTTTTAGTACTTAGTTTAAATGAACAGGCACAGAAGTTAAGATTCCACTTTCTTATCAACAAGGTGGTACATATATTTGACTAAACTTGGTAGGAAATTTCAAAGTTTATTATTTTGATATCTCACTAGGTGTGAAGGAATATATCCAGCAAAGGAAACAGAAACATAACAAAAGTCTTCCATTTGTTGCTTTGGTAAGTAAGTTAATTTTACAGAGATCAAAACAATGTATAGTGAAGTAGTCACTACACAGAGATCATAAATTCATAGATAAAACAAGTGACTTGGTCTAAAAGCAGTCACAAACCAGACAATGTAAGCTGATACGTGACAAATAACATCAGGCGATATAACCAGAGCAGAAAAAAGGCTTCGTAAGTATTCTATGGCGAGAACGATCGACAATGTGGCACATAAGCGGCCTACCACACAGGATGGAAGCCCTCAGCTGATTTTGAAGGCTTCCAAGGTACGGCAGAAAGCAAGCTATAAATAAAATTAGTACATACTTGATAAGCATGTCTCGAAGCATCGAAAATTCGCAGTGCATTCTATTTTCAACTGTAAAGGAATGCAGATACTATAGAACATATGCTTCATGAAATATCAATTTATAGTAATGCACCATAAAAACAAAATATCAAGTCTGAAGCAACCAAATTTAGTCGTGATCTAGCTGTGTAAGACAAATAAGGCAAATGGCTAGACATGAATAATACAGGGTTACATGGAAGTCACATTATGTTCCGTATTATTTTGATATAATGTAGTGAAACATTGAATTCATATATTTTGAGTTCACTTTTGACTTTTTAATAGCAATGAGTTTTGCATGATAAATTACGTAAGACATTGCATACACCTTGTAAAAAATAGACTAGCATATGAATATGGAGAGGTTTCCATGATCGACGATGAAAATCGCCATCCACCAAAAAAGAGGCACCTCAAATAAGGTCTCCTAAATACTTTGAAACTGTAACCAAAGTTTCTTTCAAAAGATCTCCTGATAAAAAAGCAACTTCTTTAACAGGCAGCCAATTCTAATGAGATTGATCAGATAGAGACCCTACTGTAACAGACGAGAGAAAGAACATATTGGGAGGTCAGACAAAAAAGGCGACATATAAAAAGCCTTCTGGATAAGCACTACGGTGAGTTAGAGTAAACAAAAGAAAAGTGCAGCACTTTTCATCGTCTTACTTTGACATACAAAACTGCCATACCCAGCACCATACCCATTTTCATACACATCTCTTCTTCCCACAGTTGTCATTGCCCGAGCAATTGTCTTCAACATAATCACAACTAATTAAACTATTTATTTCAAAATATCACTCACCTTCAACGACTCCCCATCGTGTTTTTCGACCGAGGACATTTTTTCCTCCAACATTTACATACTTGTCACTTCCAACAACGGCAAATGGAATTTGGTCCTGTAACAAAACGTAAGGTGTCCTCAGAGTAATGAAAACATCACGGCATCACGGCCACTGGCCGGAGGAAGGTTGTAGAAACATAAAAAATTGTGAAAGATGTGAAAGGTGAAACGTGGAATTTTTGAAAACTTGAGGAAGTTGAAGAAATCGAATTGCCTTTTCAAAATACAGTTTGACAAAAACGGAAACATTCAAATAACATTTATAAACCTCCTGTTTTTTTCAATATGAATGTCTTTGCAGACCTGTTCCGCACTGTAAAATTAAGGCATTAACCTTTTATGATTAATAATTATGATTAAATTTTATTGTTAATTGATAAAAGCATGTAACCTTACATGTCTCATGAAACAAGCAACAATTTTTTAAAACCTTTTGGAAAAACAGAGTTGCAAGGAGAGGCGATCAAGACTGGTTGAGCCCCCCCCCCCTCCCCCAAATTCCTGACCATGCCCTTTATAAAAACCTACTAAAAATAAGGAAGGTTTTAAAGTAAGATTTTCTTCGCCAGAGGAAGGTTGACAACTTTTCTGGACTCTTGGTGTCCTAACTTTATGTAAGATTTTCTTGGCCAGAGGAAGGTTGACAACTTTTCTGGACTCTCGGTGTCCTAACTTTATGAGAAATGTCTCCACCAGTTTTTCTGTATGGAGAAGGGGTGATAGCTACTAACTTCAATTTATATCACGGCAAAACTATTCAAGTTATCAGAGGAAACTATTCAAGTTATCAGAGGAAAGTCGGCTCGATTTTCAGTGAAAAATAGCAACGAGCCAGGATAGCATCAGTTTGCAAAGCTAGTTAGTCGTGATTTGCTGTGATTTTATATAATGCAACTGATGACTGGTATGTTTCGAATGTTCGAATGTTCTTTTATAGAAATGACAATCTACTGCCTCAGATATGCGAATATCTTTGAAAAAATGTAAAATATTAGAAAATTTTTAAATTTTCAATAAATGTTAACAGTGTAAGTGTAAGCACCAGTGTAAGAAGACCGGCTGTTTTACGCGATCACTGGTGCGAATCATCACCACAAGGCTTAAAGGGAAAATACCATTGGGTTGTAATCTCTCGGTATTATGACGAGAATCTCCTTTACTTTTGTAGTCACCACAAACGTGATCATAAGAAGGCTCACCTTGATTTTGTTGTTGACTTTCATTTCATCATCGGTTAGATCATTGTGGACAACTGGGTATATTGTGACGTTGTTAAAATGGATATCCTCACGAATCTGAAGCAGAAAAACTTTTTATCAACAAAAACACAAACGGAAACTAAGCAATTCATAAAACCATCATAACATTAAAATTAATCATAATATTTCCACAATTATGCAATAATTAAAAATAAAAAAAAATTCATATCAAACGCTCTTTATTAAAAGACACATTCTGCTTGTTCATTGCTGACATTTTCAAGATTTTATTGTCGTAATTAACATTTTCTTCTGCCATATTCCCAGAGCAAATCTTAAAAAAATTGAGGGATTCAACATTGCCTTAACTCATTAGAGGATAACAAAGAATTTTTCTAAAACTTGCTCTAAACGCTTTTGGGAAAATAGCACTACTTCATACTCCGCACTCTAGATCTCTTCTTGTTGTTTTTCTGTGCGAATTTTGCAACCTTTTCAATCTCATACGATTAGATTACCAGCATGGAATTACAGATAGTAGAATTACAAATGAAAAATAACATGAAAGGCTGTAACATACTCGCTTTTTGAACGCTTCCCTTTCTTCCAAGGTCAGCGTATCCGCTTTTGAGATGACAGGAATAACATTAACACATTTATCTAACTGCTTCATGACTGATATATCAAGTGGTTTCAACCTGAAAAAAGCAAGGATGTTTTACCATTATCGCGAATATTATGGCCTCTCGATGATGATCTAATAGGCAATAGCAACCGTGCCTACTAAGAATGCATGTAAATTGTAGCATTTCTATTTATATGCCCGATGACTATGTTGACTAGCCTTTCAACATAAAACACCTTGATAAATTATACAAATATAATGTTAATGATAGAAAATAGTGTATGTTCTGAAAGATACAAAAACTCAGAGGAAGTAATGGCAGGCGTTGTTTTTTCACTTACAGTTTTGCTCTATGAGCTGGATGATATTCGTACTAAGTATTTTAAGTAAAGTATGTTATTGTTCATACAAAAATTCACACAAAGTAAGGTCTATATATGATTACAATTATTTGTATACAGTACCTATGACCAGTTGGTGCAATGAAATACAAGCAGCAGTGCACTCTGTTGTCTGGAATCCTCGTTCGTCGATTGATACTAAGTTCTTCCTTGAGATACTTGTCATACTGTTCGTTGATGTAGCCAACAACTGGCTCCCAGCTTAAAAACAAAGGAAAATGCTTAAAAAAAGATGATTCAATGCGATAATCTGTCTACAATAAATGTTGTTATAGTTTGCATATCAGTCTTTGTATTGGTTATCAAACATACGTTTCTAATAATGATAAAAATTTCTTAAGACCTACATTGAAAAGCTTCAGGTGAATTAATGAGCCTTAAGTAAAAATTGACCACAGGATGGTACAAAATAAGGAATTATTCTCTGTTTATGAAACTTCTGAAAAAAGAAACTTTTTTCCGCATTTATTTGATAAAAAGTTAAACGTGAATGTGTAATTAATATTTTACAATCTGCTTAGTAATGTAAAAACTTTGCATAACTAGGTTTGGTTCTCCTGCACCATACTTGAATAGAAATCTAGGAACATTATAACCTGTCACTGTTACTAAAAATATCAGTAAAAGTTGTGTCTAAGACATTTATAACTATTGTTTATTTCAAGATACTGACCAGTTAGCATTGTTTATTTGATCACCAAAACCAGGAGTATCTGTGACTGTTAGCTTCAAATTTACACCCTTTTCCTCCAAGACTAGGAAAAAAAGAGCTATAAAGTATTTTTTCAATAAAACTGAACTTTGATAACATTAAAATGCTGTTTGATAGGACCTTGGCTCTATGTATAATGCATATAATAATTTTAATTGTTTTCTTTGCAGCATTTGAATTACATGTATATGTTTGCAAGTAAAAAAGTACCATGTGATAGTGGCAGTTTATTTGAAACTTAAAAATAACAGACAAAAAAACACAGAGACCAGGTTGCAAAATGAAGGGGGCACTCTAAAAATACATTTTACAGCTGTAACAGTCAGACTTGGAAAAAGAAAAACTCACCATGGGTCACTGTTTTTATTTGCACTGTTTTTGGAATGCCATTAAAATTTTCAGTGCAAGTAGATCTACTTGCTTTTGTTTTGAATAAGGTATTTATCAGAGTTGATTTTCCAAGCCCAGATGATCCTGTTAAAAAAATAAACTAGTCAGTATAAATGAAGAGGGGGCTTGTTGAATCCAGATATGAAGGTTTTCACACTGTCCAATTGTTGCCTATATAACTATTTCAATAAATCTAATTTACAAAGCTTCCACTTTTGTCATGGATACTTGCAGCCTCTAGTATTTATAGCTTTTACTAGCAATTCACTGTCCAATTGTTGCTTTTATAACTATCCAAGCTCATTTTTTGTCATAGATACGCTCAACCTCTAGCTGTTACTAGCTTTTCAATGCCAGCAATTAAAACATATTAACATGAAGCTGATCATTTTTTTTCTTCTAATTTTCTATTGCCATCTGAAATATTGATTAATTGAAAAGATTTTTTCTCAAAATTAAGTGAGCATATAAATTTGCAACGTAGAACAACTTTTATTGTTATTATATATATTGATTAGTTGACACCAGAGGTGGAAAAAGTATCGGAACCTGGGAACGTAGTTCCCAGAAATGTTTCTAGATGAAAATGTTGGCAGAAAGTTTCACAGAAATTTTTTGAAGTGTTAAAGTAAATATAAAAATTTGGTGACATAGGTTAAGTCAAATTAGTTGAAAATATTATTTTAACTTGTCTGTGAGCAGCTAAATTTGAGCTGCCAAAGGAATGTGGGAATTAGTCTCTTTCCATTGGAAATAAATTCTTTGTGCACATTATTTACATTCACCATCCCACAGAAATCTCAGCCACTCACGATCAGAATTTTTTTAGCAGCTGAGCTTTTAAGACAAACCATGATTAAGACTGAGACTGAGATTAATATAGGTACTGGAATCTACTTTCACAGAAAATATTTCTGGCACCATGGTGTGAGCAGCATTGATCATAAGTTAATATGCTTGGTTACATTAATCTGTTGCATGCTAGGACTCCATTTTAACCACATATTGCTTCTCACTTGTCAAAAGTTTAGGCTTAGTCTTCTCCATAAAATGCACCATACAATTCAAATGCTTTTGCCCCTTTCTCTTCTGAAACTATGTTTGGAGATTATTGCATGGATTTTCCTTTTGATTTTCCATCATGATGAGTGATTGAATCAATTTCTAGCTAAGAATGATTTCTTTCTTATGTGCATTAATGCATTAAGTAAAGGCATATCTAATATGTTGAGAATGACTGTTTTGGAACAAAAGTCAAGATCTCTGATGTTAAATGATACTGATTATGTTAAGAAGTTGATTGCCTGACAATTTTATGCATTCAATTTAACCTTCTATAGAAATACTTTGAGAAAAAAAAACAAATTAAGCATTAAAATAAAAACAAATTGAACATTCAAAAGAGAAGTATCATATATACTTCTTAAAATTAAATTTGCCCACTTTTATACATCAACTAAGAGATATAGGCACAAACAGAAAGTTTATTTGTCTACCCCCTAAATTTTGCAGAAAGTTTTGAGCCAGATTCTTAGGTTCCCAGAAAGAAAAAAATTTTTTCCACCTCTG